GGCCTGGATCTATAGTATCTTTCTTCAGTGAGGAGCTCTGAGCCCACGGAGGCTGAGGGAGATGGCACTGCTTTCTTCTACAATTGTCAGACTGGAAAAGAGACCAGGGCAAATCTCCTGCTATCTCCCAAAGACAAACTTCCCTTCTGCTCCTGTTTCATTAACCAAAGCATCCCTAACGGGAAGGGACCTGGAAAGTGTCTCCTTCCCAGGATCCTGCAGGAAGACTGGACCATTCTAGTCACCACACACTCTCCCTGTCTTTCCCCAAACCTGTTTTTGTCTTTTGTTCATTGATTTTTTAAAAATTCCTTTTTGTTATGTGAGTCATAAATCCTTTCTAGCCTTAAAAAAAAAAAAAACCAGGAAAAACAAGACTAAAGTTAGCCAGAGTTCGTTTCTACTGCATAACAAATACCCGAGAAGGTGTCGGACCTGGCTTTACACGCGCTGTGAACCGGACAGATTGGGAAAGTGAACTTCAGCATACACATCCTGATTTTGAAGCAAGGACACACGAATTTTTTTTTTTTCAGGGACAACATTTTAATTGGAAAAGAAATAGGACATGCTCTGAGCCAATATCTAGACCCAAATCATTATTGGTAGCCACCACATGTCAGGCAGAGAGCCAGGTGGTTTTGCATATGTTGGCTAATTCAATTTAATTCCTTATGAACACAATGTCAGGTGAATCTTATTATTCATAATTTATGGATGCAGAAACTGAGGCTCAGAGAGGCAAAATAACCTACCTCAAAAACCATTAGCTAACAAATGACAGCTCTGTTTGGACTGTATCATCTGATAATGCAGAGGGATACCGGAGTAATGCAATGTGATTTTTAGGTATGTTCTGTTTGGTTTGGCAAAACCCTGTGCTTCAAGAAAGGTGAAAGGGGGCCTTGAGTACCAAAGTGACAGGTGGGAATTGATGAGGTAGGCAGTGAGTCAGCAAGGGGATATTTTCATTAAAAAAAATCAATAAATAAAAAGAGCTGGGGATGGGTTGAGGCTGTAGCTTAGTGATGGGGCGCTTGTCTAGCATGCATGAGGCCCTGGGTTCCATCCTCAGCGCCACGCAGACATTCCTCCCAAACGGTGATCTGCTATTGTTGCCAAGGCTGACTAGAAAGGAGGCCCACTGGAGGCCAGGAGCCCACACTGTGAAAATGAGGGGCTGAATGAGCATGCGTACTGGCCGTGGAACCGTCAGCAGTATTCTAGCATCTCTAGACCCACTGCGGATACAGTTGGAGATCACCCTACACGCACAGCTCCTACTTTAATTGTTGGTTTCTCAAAGACTTGCTCTTAGAAAGCACCTCCATTGGCCGGGTGCAGTAGCGAACGCCTGTAATCCCAGCTTGGGAGGCTGCGGCAGGAGGACCGCAAGTTCAAAGCCAGCCTCAGCAATTTAGTGAGGCTTTAAGCAATTTAGCAAGACCCTGTCTCAAAATAAAAAGGGCTGGGAGCTGGGGCTGTAGCTCAGTGATGGAGCGCTTGTCTAGCATGTGGGAGGCCCTGGATTCGATCCTCAGCACCACACAAAAATAAATTAATAAACAAAGATATTGTGTCCATCTACAACTAAAAAAAAAATATTGATAAAAGGAGGGAGGACTGGTTTGTGGCTCAGTGGTTAAGCACCCTTGGGTTCACAGTACCAAACCAAACCAAACCAAAGAAAATTCATTAAAAAAACAACAACAACAAGAAAACAACAACAAAATATAGCCAAGTGTGCAATGGGCAAAACTCTCCAAAAAAACAAAACAAAAACCCTGTCCTCTGCCTGTTCACTTATGTGGCCCCCTTATCTTATCAATAGAACTGCATTCTTTCAAGACTGTGGCTATAGGGGATGACAGAGAGAAGGAAGGGAGAGATCTGCTTACTACCAGAGTTCAGGCAAGGGACATAAATGTGCAGGTCCATACGCTCCTTCTAAAGGCTCAGCTGCATCTCACCTCTGGCTGAAGTTGGGAATAGGCTGATTTTCCAATAGAAACTTCAGATTTCTTTTTTTTTTTAGGGACATCCTGCAATTTTTAAACAATTGCAGCTTGTAGCTTGTTTACGTTTTTTAATATCACTCTCAGTTTGCCACCTCTGGGTTAGATTTTAACGCCATGTTATCGAAACCTTTCCAACCATTTCATCCAAACCTTTCCAAATTTGGGAATGCACTTATTTCTCAAACTAGACTCATAACAGGTTGGTTTCAGATGGTTGGAAGAGTGGACCAAGAAATGTGAGCATGAGGGCCTGGGCCAGGGGGCTGGGCACCCTGGAGGCTGAGTCTTGAAAGGGGGATGGGCCAATGCAGCAGAAGCCTCAGCTTCCTGGCTGGCCACTCTGGGGCGGCTCTGGGAGTGGAAGGAGTGCCCGCCAAAGCCTGGGCTCCTTGCAACTTCAGTTGGCCCCTTCCCATTGACATTACAGTAATACAGTTGTGCCGTGTTTGAAAAAGCATCTCTAGTTACACAGAATGATTTACAGGACACCAGACTCTGCATTTCAGAGGTCTCCTGTGTACCATAAAAAATATATTATAAAGGAATAATCTTTATCTAAACTAAGGCTGCAGTGAAGGAAACTCATGTCCAGCTGAGAGCAGCAGTGAGCTTTTGTTCACTCAGGGAAAAGTCCGTGTTCTTCATCTTATTTGATTAACATTTTTTTCCCCTCTTTGGCACTAGGTATTTTGTTAATATTTAGACATTATATACATTTTCTTTCAGCTGTTGTTCCTATTATGTGATCAAACAAAACAGGGGAAGTCAGCCACATCAGCAGAAGAGGGGAAAGCAGATCTGCCAGGCACCCAGCTGGGGCTAGCAGGGGAGAAGGGGCTGAATGGAGCCGGCCCCAGGAGGAGACTGGCCAGGCTGTTGTGCAGGGCCAGCCCTGTTCCCAGGAAGCAGAGGTGGCTACAGAGCCTCCGTTGATTGCTTTGCCTCCTCCTTTCAATCCCACCCTGCCATTTCCCTCACTTTCCTGAGCAAAGGCAATAGCAGAGTCTACTTTGGACACTTCTAGAGCCTTCTGATGTTTATCATTCGGCCCTATCCAAGAGAGGGAAGTGAGGGATGGAAATCTCTTAAGAGACAATGCATTTAAAAAAAAAATGTAATTCGACCATACACAGACCCTCTGCAACCCACCTTGTGTCCGCTTATTAGACGTTTAGAGAGAGGGACTCTCATTTTATTTCAGTCCAGGCAAACCCGAACTTCTTTAGTGGCCAATGCCTCCCAAAGGGCACAGGTATGTGCACCTGTGGTTAAGGGTGTCCCGGAGCGGGTGGCCTCGTCTTTTGTAAAAAAGCACGGTCACTTAGTGATGGGACAGAGGCAAGAGCTCTGAGGTTGGGAAACGTGGGGGTTTGTGTCAAAGCTCCACCCATCATAAGCTCCAAGAAAAGATGGGGAGACTGGACAGATGGAATTTGGGATGGGGAAGCTGTTGGGGAGAAGGAATTCCTCCTGATCCAAGGCAGGTCGACCCCAGGGTGAGAGAAGGAAGGGTCAGGGATGGGCTGAGTTTACTTGGAGTCCCAGGGGACAAACGGAAGGGAGAGCTCCCCACTCGCTGCCCCCCACCCCCGCTGGCTCCCCAGTGCGTGCGCGGCACCGGCTACTGGCTCTGGGCTCCAATTCCTTAAAAGTGTTGGGAGAGGGCTGAAGTGCAGCACGGCTTCTCAGACTCCCAAGGGAGGGGACGCACCCGCGGTGGGGCTGGGAACACCCAGCGCAGAGTGTCGGGCGGCGGCGGTGGGGGTACGATCCCAGTTCTCCCGGGTGCCCCAGCCCT